GTCGATGCTCAAGCACTGAGCCCTGTGGGCCAGGCAAAGCTATTCGCATTTTAGAGATGAAGAAACAGAAGCCCGGAGAGGCTAAACGGTCTGCCTTAGGTCACAGACTAGGTCAAGACAGAAGCTGAACCTGGCAACGTGGCCCCTGGTCACCACGTGACACTGCGCAGGCTTCGGAGTCAGAATTCAAACTCAAATGACTAATGAGTACAGATTACAAACCCATTAGTGACCCGGGAGAGATTCAAACTAACAGCAAGATTTTTACCTCACACCTGCCAGCCATTTTGAAAGCTGAACCAGGCCAAGGGTGAGTGGGGAATTGGGGAAGTGGAAACTCTCATGTAACTGGGAATGAACGTGGACTAGTGCAGCCATTCCAGACGCGAGTTATTGTCAGTTCTTCTCCCAATCAAGTATAGGCGTAACCTAGGACCTAGGAATGTCACTCCTGGGCATATATGCCAGAGATAGTCTTACATTGATCCACAGGGAAACATGAGAAAGCAGCTCCTCACAGCATCGTGTATAAAAAAAAAAAGGGAGTTGAAGGCAATCTAAGTGCACATTGCCAGAGGAATAGGTAAGCAAAATGTAGGTGCACCCGATGGGGGTGATGGAGCAGAGGTTGGCATCAATGAGCCACGTGTACGCACTTCAACATGGTTAACTTGTAAAAACAATGGTGAAGGGGGGAGATGAGACACCCAATATATGTAAATCATGTCTTTTATGTAAATGTGAGATGAACATACACAGAAAAGGATACAAAAAAGTCCATGATATTGACCACTCTAGAACAGTTGGGGGATGTGCCTAGAGAATGGAGATTAAAGAGAAAACAACATTCAGACAAAAAAAGTATGTAAGAGAAGTGTCTTGCAAAATGCAGGCAATAAAAGACCTATGCATCCTAATTCTGTCAAGTTATTGCCTGTGTGACGTTGAGTAAGTCATTTCACCTTTTTGATACTTGCTTTTCATGTCTGGGCGATGGAAGATGACCTTCACAACGTGTATCATGAAGGACGCCTACAGAGGAAGTCAGTGTAGAACAGGAAGTGCAAGGAGCCAGACAGACCCAGCCGTGCACTCTGGCCTTGAGGAGTCACTTTACTCTCTAAGCTTCTGTTTTTAATGAGGTGGTCAGGACCTCGCTGGGAAGGGGACATTTAAATAAAGCCTTGAAGGAGTCAAGGAAATAAGCCATACAGATATTGGGGAGTAGGGGGCGGGGGGAGTTGGGGAGTAGTTCAGACCGAGGGAAGAGTCCATTCTGTCCACAGGTAATGACGTGAAAAGTTCCCCGCACGGTGTCTGGGACACAGTAAGCAGTCCGTGTTCACCCCTTTCCCTTCTCTTACAGACACGTCAGGATCAGAGTGGCCACTTAATGCACCTCCCAGCTTTAGTGACAATGACACTCTGGCCTCAAAAGGTTTCAAAACACTGCATCCATATACACTATCCACCTGTGGTAGTGGCCTCCCTCAGGGACCTCAGAAACCTCACCCTGGAAAGAAGTCATTGCTGCTGGGACTTCAGCCTGCATGGGGAGCACAAGAGCCCCCAACTCAAGCAGGAGGCTGGTAACCGCCAGGCAGGGCCCCTGGCCAGCTGCTCTTGTCCTCAAGAGGCTCCCATCCCAGCACAGCCAGCACTGGAACAGCGCCTAGAGGGGCTTGAGAAAGAGTGCCATCACCCGGGGGGAGGAGAGAAGGGAAGGGACCATGTGTACTAAGGCAGATCTGAGTCCCATATTCCCCTTAGTAAGATAAAGGAATTGCACCCACCCTGTGTTCTTGCTTTTTGTTTTTTATTCTGCCACTTTCTAGCTCTTTTATCTTTATACAAGTCACAGAATACTTCAGAGCCTCAAGCTCCCCATCTGTAAAATGGTATGAAAATGTCAGTTCTGTACAGTGGTTGTGAGGACTCGTGCGATAAGATTTGTGAACGTGGCAAGCAAATATCTGGGGCTCAACAAAAAGTAGTTCCCTTCCTCTGTACCACATACCTGGGAGGCAGCCACGTCTGGCTCAGTCAGCTCGGGTCCTTATTTATTTTATCTTTTCTACAGGGATGGGATCACCTACCTTTCATGTAGGATCTGAGACAGCAAATAAAAACTGTGCTTAGCATAGTTATTGGACCAAAATGGTATTCCATAGATGTTTGTTGGGTACCTGGATGGGTGGACGGATGGATGGATGGATGGGTAAATGGGTGCACAGACTGATAAATGGATAACTGGGGAGGTGGAAGGTTGACTTCCTGGCAGTATGTTAGGGGAAGCATAATTTGTATTACAAAAATACAAGTTTGCACACACAAAAAAAACACAGCTATTTTATAAGAGGGTTTTATTATCCCTATTTTTAGCTTTAGGTCTTAAGCGCAGATATAACATAGATGAGTAAAAACAGGCACAAACATGCGCAGTTCTAGTCAATGGTGACCTCACTTATCACTCTCGAGTCGATGACTCATCTCAAGGGATCAGGTATTGCCTGCACAGCATTCTCTGAGTTCACTGGAACTTCCCTGGGGTGGAAGCTGTAATCAGGGCGGGGATACAGGATAAGGCCTTCTTGACCTAGAAGATGACGTGGAAATCCTGACCGGTGATGCTTCTTCCAAAGAATCACAAATCAACTTTTCCTATAATCCCAGGCACCATTGCAAGAACTGAGAGACATGGAACCGCAGCCAATTCTATATTCCCTGCAATCACTTGGTCCCTCTGAGTCCCTTATTCACTTAGAAGATCAAGGGATTGATTGGACCCACCAGGTTCCAAAATGTTCTGATCCTCGGAAAATCACTGACATCTTCCCTTAAGTGTGAACCTAGAATTTAGGAAGGATATGTATTATTAAATTCCTTCTCCACCTCTCCTTGAAGAGTCTGTTAAACCCTTTCAAACTAAGTGCATGTAAATGCCAATATGTCTGGTTAAGCTACACCTGGGAAAGCAGTAAGCTTTGGAGATAGACCGATCTCAATCCCAGGCCTTCTTTGAGAAACTATAGATACACTGATGATCAAGATTCAATTCCTGCCCCAGGAAAGGGAAGGTGGACATTGAAATGGATAAACTTCAATAACCATAGAAATTAAGGTATAAAAAAGTTAGATCCTCCAGCCCTAAAGTGCTGTTAGAAGAAAGCCAATGACTCTGCCTAAAGGCCTCTAGGAAGGTTGCCCATCCGAAGTATTCTGGGCTAAGTGAAAAAGAAGAGAGAGCCCTAACCGGTTTGGCTCAGTGGCTAGAGTGTCGGCCTGCGGACTGAAGGGTCCCAGGTTCGATTCCTGTCAGGGTCATGTACCTTGGTTGCGGGCACATCCCCAGTAGGGAGTATACAGGAGGCAGCTGATCAATATTTTTCTCTCATCAATATTTCTTTTCTTTTTTTTTAAATAAATCTTTATTGTTCATATTATTACAAATCTTCCTCATTTTTTCCCCCTCCATGGCCACGTCCTTCCTGCAGCTGGGGCTTGCCCATGGTGCCGTTGATATACAAAGACCAGACTTTCTATCAGTATTTTTTCAGCAATGACACCAAGAAATTGACAGCTAAGTGGATGTTGTACACAAACTCATCATCTGTCATCTTCACATGGCCAACAGACACGGCCAACAGACTTCATCATCTGAAACTTGATTGTGCTTTCCCTTCATCAACTTTGACCACCAAGTTCTCACTGTGGGTCAAGAGGAAGAGAACTTGTTAGCCTGAGGCAGGCCTGGGCCCGGGATTCGTAGATCTGCTTGATCAGCGGAGAGTCTGAATCCAAAAAGGCATCAGACTTCTTGGCCAGCTTCCTGACTCGTTTGTTACCCTTGTTGAGTTTCTTCAGCGCCTCGGTGTTCGTGCGGGGGATATCCGCGGCCTTGACCTCATTGCAGAGCTGCTGGGCCTCTGACGCACATGTGGAGGACGTGGGGCAGGTGCCCGAGTTTGTCCTCCTGAGGCTTGTGGTTCTTCAAGCTGATCTGCAGCTCCACCGTCTCCAGAACTTCCATTGTTTGCACTGGATCCCGCGCAGAACTCCCCACACCACCGGGTACAGGGTGTCTCAGGAAACTTTGCTGTTTGTGATTCCTCACACCGCAAAAGCCGGAAAAGAACTCAGATTTACTCTTTATTGAGCACTTACTGAATGCAGACACCGTGCACTTTATACCCATCACAGCAGTGTTTCCCAATGTGCATCATGCAAGTCCCTGGGGAGTATGAGGTGCCTTTAGACAGGATACCAAGAACATGTTTATTTTAAGAGTTATGCTTTCCGTTTACATCTATCTTCTATGTTTGGCAGGCGGCATTAGTTTTTTGTTCACAATCTATAATAATAAAAACGTAATATGCAAATCAACCAAATGACTGAACAGCAGAACAACCGTCCGGACAACCATGCTATGACAGGCACTGGCGCCAGGCCAGCCAAAGCAGGTGCGATGTGATTGGTCAGGGGGCCCCACCATCACTCCACAATCGCCCCACAGATCAACGGGGGAGGGAGGGGCTCCAGGATTGATCGCCCCAAAGAGTGAGGCCCAGGCCACCTTCTGCGCAGCAATCAATTTCAGAACCCTGGCCGGGTGGGTGGGACCTCCCTCTGCTGGGTGATTGGTCAAGGAGCCCCACAATCAATCGCCCCAAAGAGGGAGGCCCAGGCCAGCCAAGCAATCACACCCCACGCCTGTCACCCACAGAGGGTGGTGACTGGTAGGGGGGAGAGGGCAGCACCTCACAAATAGTAAGCAATGATGGGGCAGGGGCAGGGCCAGCTGCAGGCAGCCGGGGGAAGGAAAGCCCCCCATAGGCCCTGTCTTCAGCCAAGCCTAGGGACATTACCCGAGGGGTACTGGATTGTGGGAGGGCGCAGGCCTGGCTGAGGGGCACACGCGTGCGCGTACACACACACACACACACACACACACACACACACACACTTCGGTGCATGAAATTCATGCACGGGGCCTCTAGTTTAGTTATAAAGATCCTTTTTTACAATTTAAGTTTTAAAAAAAGTGACGCAATTTAAAGAAAAAATATTTATTGAGTAAATATATAGCTGGTACATAGACACTGTAAAAACTTCAAGGGGGTACACGAATCACTGAAATTCAAGAAACACTGTTTTAGCATGTAAGCATTTATCTCATTCGGAGCTCATTTAGTTGCAAGTAATCAATGACTCGGATCAGCTTAAGCAAGAGAAGAGAAGATCTCCTGGCAGGGAACTCTCACGGGCCCCAGAGGGAAGAGTGCAGCTGTGCCTCCCGAAGGCTTGGCCTGGAGGAGGAGCAGGCAGGCCCCTGGGAGCACTCCCCTCCTCTCTCCAGGTCCCTGGGGCCTCTGTCTCTGCTCTGCTCTGCACGTCTCCAGCTTCGCTCTAAACAGACCCATTTCCTCTGGTACCAGCACACTCACGTAGGTGGCCACCTCCGCCATCCTCTCAACACACAGACACACACGTGTAGACACACACATGCACACGCACACACATGCACACTCACAGCTCCAGAGTTCCTATATCTTCAGGTGAGTGACTTGCAGAGCCTGAAACAGCATCCCTGAATCTTGCTACTTATTCCTGAGAGAGACAACCTGACTGGCCGAGCTGGAGCCAGATGTCCACCTCTCATCCATTCGACTCCCATGGGAGGATGGAGGGGAACACGTTCTCAGTAAAAGAGAGAAACCTGGATGAGTAGGCACCCTGGCCAAGAGGTCTTTGACTCAGCAACTTACCTCGCTGCTCAGAACATCCCCATGAGGTAGGAAATTCAGCTCAAAGTCCCTCAGCAGGAAGTGACAAAGCCAAGACTCGAAACTGGGTCTTGGTGACACCAAAGCTCTAGCAGGCTGCACTACCTGGTCACCACCAGGTGAGTCCAGCCCACAGCTACAATTGCGGACCCAAGCACGTCACTGGTCCATTGGGAAGCAGTTACATTCATCCAGTGCTTGCCCAGTGGACAGAAAACAAGGGCCCCGACTTTATGGGGACACTATCTGAGAGGGAAGAAGATTTCTTTAAAGGCCCACAAGGTCCTGGAAACCAGAGAGGGCTTCTCCAAGCCCTGGGTCTGAAGCTGCCAGATTCAGACTGCGGTACTCAGCTCAGGGTGCAAGAGGAGGCTCATTTGAATATATTTGCTGAAAACCACAACCAGGCATCTAGAGATCGCCGAGAAGCGGACACTTCCCTTCTGCACCAAGAATTCACAATGCCTGCTGGCCCTTGAAACCATAACTGCTCCTCCCACCTCCTAGAAGCTAAATTAGGAGGGAAAAAGAGGCAGCGGGGAAACCAGCCTAAGCTCCCAGTCCCTTGGAGGCGCTGTGCATTGTGGTGCCCTGGATGGTCAGAGTTTCGCTTTGAGGGGCCTTTGCTGCCCAACAGGAGGTACTTTACCAAGGTCTCTGCACAGACAGATGGATGCAGCGATTTTGTCTCTCCCCCAGAGCCGAGCCAGGCCTGGAGCGAGACCTCTGCAGGGAGACGCCTCCGGACACAAGCTCCCCATCCTAGCGTTTGGCCTGTGCGCGTTTTATCTTCTCTGGCCACCACGCAGGTGTTGGGTGTGTTGGGCGAAGCTTCCACAGAGCCACCCTAAGAAGTGTCACAAAGACCTTGTGCCTGTGCGTGGAGACAGCGGGAGGGGGCATCATCCTAGCTCAAAAGTCTGCCCCAAAGGTATTGCCACGTTGCCAGGGGAGTGACCCTTCCCCCACACCCGCTTCTCTGCCTTTCCAGGGATAAAGGGAGTGGTTGCTCCAAAGCTCAGGTCCTAGTCACTTGAATGCTGCCCCAGGAGGTGGACCTGGGCGGCTCAGAGTCTGTCCCCAAGGTCTGCCCCTGGCTAACGCCACCAGCCAAGCTGACTCTGGCGGGTGTCCAAAGGTGGCTCAAGGGGCTCATTCAAGTGTGGGATTTTAGCAGTCTGCTCTTCCGTCATCCCCACCTTAGGGAGGCAGCCTCCGTGTCAAACCAGCCCCGAGCGCCCAGGGAAGATGTGCCCAGACCACAGCCAACACCTCTTCTCCCCCCACGTCCGCCACGAGGTCCATTGTCCACGCCTCTGGGCCCGGGCCCCCTCGGTCAGAGACTAATTTTTGAGGGAGTTGGCAGGCACGTGGTTGAGCGGCAGGACCACCTCGGTGCCCGTGTCCATGGTGGTGAGGGGGCACTTCCGGCTGCTGCGCATGCTGTGGAACTTCTCGGTCAGGTGCTTGCGGAACTTCTTGGTGAGGAAGCAGTAGATGATGGGGTCTAAGACGCAGTTGGTGCTGAGGAGGCAGAGGGTGACCTGGTGCGCGTCGTTGATGGCCTGGTGGAAGTCGCTGTCCTGGAAGCCCAGCTCGGCCAGGGTCCAGGGCAGCTGCACCACGTGGTGAGGCACGAAGCAGATGATGAACACGGCCAGCACCGTGCAGACCATCCACAGCGCCCGGCGCTTGACCTCGGCGTTGCGCTGCAGCTGCGCGGGCTGCAGGAGCAGCGTGCGGATGATGATGAGGTTGCAGAAGAAGATGAGGAGGAAGACGAGGAAGAAGGCGAACACGAGGACGATGTGGATGATGAGGACCGGGATGCTGCCTTTCTCGTAATGCTCGAAGCAGCGGGTGACGTTGGAGCCGGCCTTGCCGCGCACGACGTTGGTGGAGTCCAGCATGAAGAAGTAGGAGGCGGCGGCCAGGATGGACACCCAGATGATGAGGGACAGCAAGATGCCGCGCTTCCGGGTGGTCGCCTGGACGGTCTTGATGGGCCGGGTCACCGCCTGGAAGCGATTGTAAGTGATGACGGCCAGGAAGGCCACCGAGCAGTAGGTGTTGATGAAGAAGAAGCAGCCGGTCAGGTTGCACAGGAATGCGGGGAGGATCCAGTCGCCCTGGTGGTAGTAGTAGGTGATCCACAGGGGGAGGGTGACCAAGAAGAGCAGGTCGGCCATGGTGAGGTTCACCATGAAGATCTTTATCTCGTTGAGCTTCTTGGAAGGGTACAGGCTGATGAAGACCCACAGCACGTAGCTGTTGGCGATGACCCCCACCACGAAGATGACGCTGTAGAACACCGGGAAGAGGGTGTATCGGAACTCAGAGTCCACGCGAGAAGAATCGTTCGTCTCCATGGCGCCGGCTTGGAAAAGGCACCCGGTCACCGGGTCCTGCTCGTGCCTGGAAGACATAGGGACTCTGGTTAATGAAGGGCCAACAAGGGACTATCTGATTTCATCTATTCTAAGACTCCCGTTCTGCACATTAAAAAAAAAAAAAATCAATCGCATCTTCCAATTAATCGGCAGCATTTATTTTTTTCTTTCTGCATAAAATAATTTTTCAAGGAGCTACATCTAAGATTCCATGAAACCAACAGCAGCTGTTTCGGCAGTGGGAACACTGGAGGAAGCCTATAGATACTTACACAGGTGAGTTTTGAGAAACAGCTGGTTCTAACTGGGATTTGGTTGGTTGAGAGAGAGAAAAAGCTTTGCTCTATTTGCTGCGGTGGTGGTGGTTGGTCTATGTTTAAGTTCCATAAATGTAGCTTCCATTATTCCAATGAACCATTGGGTTTTCCTTTAAAAACCACAAAACTCACCCACGAGTCATACTGTGGGTTACATAGTTGACTTGAATTACATCGTTTTATGCTACTGGACCTTTCCCACTGCCAGATGGAGCGCTGCCATCTGGCCCCAAAGCTCCAGGATAATGGCTCCACAGGGATGAGGAGGAGAGAGAACATCTCAGAGACCTTTTAGGGGATCCGTGAGATACTGGGTGATAGAAAGGGAGGAGTGAAGAACGGCCAGGTTTCTGGCCTGGAGATTGGAGGCGGGGTGTTGTCTATCTTCATGGACACAACACTGAGGAGGAACAGCACATGGGTGGGAGGATGAATTCGGCTGAGGACATATCACATTTGGAGTGCCTGCAGAGCATCCAGGAGGATCCAAGATGGAGCCCCGAAGAGACCACCATTAAAGGATATGCCGGAGGAAGAGAAGGAGGAGGAGGAGGAGGAGAAACTTCTGGAGGGAGCAAGGACAGGTGGCCAGAGGGGTGGGAAGACAGCCAGGGAGTGCCTTGCTGGAGACCTAGTGAAGAACGTTTCAAGAATGCGAGAGCCAGGGGCCAGTGGTGTGAAAAGTCACAGGGCAACCAAATACAATGCAGACAGAAGAGCAAATATTGAATATGGCAACACGGAAACCTATCTCAAGTGATCAGAGGGAGAGCAGTTTCCTAAGACGCGTTGAAGAGTGAATGAAAAGTAAGGAAGCGGACGTCAAATTCTCACTCAAGAAGCTTCAAACGTTGAAAGAAGTGGAGAGAAATGAGTAGAAAGATAAATAAATACCATTTCAAATTGTGATGAATTCAACACAAGAAATAAATGTAGTAGCATAATGAAGCTAGATTAGAGGGCTGCTTCAAATAAAGTGACCAGGGAAGGTTTCTCGGAGGAGGTGACTATACACAAAACCAGAGGCCTCGTTGCCATAAAGCCAAGGAAGCTTGAGCTTCAGGGCCCCCTTCCTAGTCCTTGTCTCTAATTGTGTATTGGTAATTTGATATCTTTTCTTCAAAAAAGGGCCCCAAAGTTGTATAAAATTTATGGTCCTACAAAACCTATAGCTTCTTCCTCTGGCTAAAATCTAAAACTGAATAGAAACTAGTCAAGAGAAAACCTAGAATGACTGGAGTTCATCAGATCCTGAGACAGGAATAAACTTGTCATGTTCACAGAACCGCAAGGTCAGTGTGGCCGACAGGCGTGAGAATTGGGACGCGTGGGATGCGATCCGAGAGGAACAGGCCCTACATCCCTGTGAGGAGTCCCGATTGTATCCCTTGAGCATCACAGAGACGCTGGAGTGTGCCAAGCAGGTGAGAAGCTTGACCTGACTCGCTCTGGACGCTGGGCCCAGAACAGGTGGTAGGGAACAAGAGTGGAAGCAAAGGGACCATGTTGGAGGCAAGAGGTGGTGGGGACATGGACCAGAAAGTGGCCTTTCCAATTTTCCTCTGTCCCCAGCATCCTGCACACGCTTAGCCAGCGCGGGAGTTTGGAAAACCTTAGTCAAGTGAACAAATATCTAACAACTGACAAGACTGACCTCTTTGTGATAACGGTGAGAGGGGTCATCCAAGAAGACAGTAGAGGCCTCATCGATCCAGGGGCATAGAGCACCTTTGGCAGACTCCACACACGGCGGGGTGCCCCCCCCTCCCTCCTCCGCCTGTGGTCCCAGGACCAGAAGCATCCGCATCCCCTGTGAGTTCGTTAGGCAGGCAGCATCTCAGCTCCACTGAGGCCTGCTGCATCAAGCCGTCTTTTAGCAAGAGTCACGCCATCTTGATTCGTGAGCACCCTGGGGTTGGAGAGATGCTGTGCCTCAGCGCACTGCCAGCCACACACCTGTCTGACCTAATGCCTTCCATGGCGCCCCACTGTCCAGGACCAAGTCCAAGCTCCTGTCCACACCCATTTCCCGCCAGCCTCTCCTGCTGCTCCCCCTCAACGCCAGCCACACGCAACTCCCTGCTGCTGCTCTGAAAACGCCATTTCTCTTCGAGCCTCCATGTCTTTGCACATGTTGTGGGCCCTACTGAGCATGCCTTTTGCCTATAATTTTACCTCACAAAACTTTACTCATTAAGACCTAAGCTAGCCCTGACCGGTTTGGCTCAGTGGGTAGAGCATTGGCCTTTGGACTGAAAGGTCCCAGGTTCGATTCTGGTCAAGGGCGTGTATCTTGGTTGCCAGCACATTTCCAGTAGGAGGTGTGCAGGAGGCAGCTGATCAATGTTTCTCTCTCATCAATGTTTATAATTCTCTGTCCCTCTCCCTTCCTCTCTGTAAAAAAATACATTAAAAAAAAAAAAAAAAAAGACCTAAGCTAAATGCTTTCTCTGAGACGCCTTTCCCGATTGCCCCAGGTAGAAGGAGTTGCCTTCTTCTCTCTGAATCCCCGTGATACTGGGCACATTCTTCAGTAGAGAACCTGACACACAGTTTTAAGTATTGATTTCTGTGGCTGGAAACTTCTTGAGAGCAGAGATTAGATTTTTCATCTCTTTGTCCCCAGTGTCAGACTCTAGGGACTGAAGGACTGAATGAATAGCCAAGCCCCAGATGACTATTCAAAGGAAACTGGCAGGAAAGGTATCCAGTCTCTCGGGAAGGCCTAGGAGGGTGGGGAGAACAAGGCCTCTGGAGTCAGAGAGACCTGGGTTCATGCCTGGCTCTGCCTTTTACTTGATGCGTGACAGTGGACAGTGTATTTACCTCTCTGAGCTTCAGTTTCTTCCTTTGCAAAAGCTTGCAGTCCTAACAGTAGTTTCAAAAAAAAAAACATGTAAAGTGGCCACAAATGGCCAGGCTGTCTTCCTCTCCCCATGGGCCCAGCTCCCTGGAGCCCGGGAGGGGACTCTGGGTGCTACTGACTTCAAGAGCTCTAACTCACCACAGACTTTCCTGCCAGCTCCAGCAAGGCTTTAGACCAACGTCAACAAAGCTATCAACAGTTCAACTTAACATGCGGGCACAATTCCCAGAGGATCAAGGCTGGGCAGCAGGCCCAGGCCCAGCACTCAGCTGTGGGTGGGTTAAGAGGGCCATAAAGATTCACAGAGATAAGAATCCTGCCATCTGGATTTCCCACTCTGCCCTGCATAGCATTTAGCCCCAACCACACTCTGCCTACCACTCCCATCCTGTCTCATATTCCTAGTCCCCGGGGGACCCGAGAAAGCTGGGCACTCAGAGGGGAGGAACTGCCAGGAGCTGAGCAGAAGAAACTATAGGCTGGTTACTTCCCCAGTGAGGACTGTGGGTTGGGAAGTTGGGTTTACCAGTCAGTCTGGCCCCTAACATTTGTGGTGCCATCTGTGGTCAAGAGTACAAGTGTCTAAATATTTATAAGCTATAACACTGGCCAGTGCGGCTCAGTTGGGTGGAGCAATGTCCTGTACACCAAAAGGTGGCAGCTTCCACTTCCAGTCGGGGCACATGCCCACGTTGCAAGTTCAGTCTCTGGTCAGGGCACCAAGGGAGGCAACCGATGAATGTTTCTCTCTCACATGAATATATCTCCCCCTCTTTCTTTCTCTCTCACAAATATATATATATTTTCCTACATACCTACGAAATTGATTAGGTCTAAGAACAAAAACAAAAACACTTAAAAATAAATATTTACAAGCTATAAATCAGTCACGTCCACTTTCATGCACATCCCATGCCCCAGCAGCTCCTAGTAATCCAGCAAGCTTGTGGGTGCACTCACCAGTAAGAGTATGGGCAAAAGGGGGTGTGGGCGGGACACAGTGGTCAGTCCCACATGGATCTAAGGATTCCTTGCTCTGTAGGGAGGGTTGACTGAAGGGGAGCCAGAGCCAACCCACCTAAACTCGGGGCACTGGGCATGATTTTCTAATTAATGTGTAGTTCCTCTTACCCATGATCACATTTCCTCCTCCCATTAGCCTTGGGAGGTAAGCTCTACAAGAGCAGGTAATAGTCTGCAGTCAGACAGCTGGACAGTAATAGGTGGGATTTTGAAGTCCAAGGTCCATCCTCTCTCTCCTAGGCCAAGCTGTACCAAACCACTCCTTAGCCACCTCAGCCGCTCACAGGCCTGAGGACAGAAATTGTGGGTGCTGTGTAGCCCCAGAGAGATATGCCTTTGACCTGGGGCCTTGCGTTTACCATTGCTCCCCAGATTCAGAAATGGAATGGGGCAAAGGGGAGGGAGGGACTGTAGGATCCATCTCACTGCTGCTGGGAATTGCTGGAGTTGGAATCAAATCCTGGTCCAAACACTAACCTCACCCCATGACTCGAGTCTCTGTCTTCTCCTTGGTAAAATAAAGATTTTTAAATGGGTCTAAAACAGTGGTTCTCAACCTTTCTAATGCCGACCCTTTAATACAGTTCCTCATGTTGTGGTGACCCCCAACCATAAATTATTTTCGTTGCTACTTCATAACTGTAATTTTGCTACTGTTAATGAATCGTAATGTAAGTATCTGTGTTTTCCGATTATCTTAGGCAACCCTGCTAGCGGTTCTCAACTGTGGGTTATGACCCATAGGTTGAAAACCAATGCTGTAGAGCCTAAGACCATCAGAAAACACTGATACTAATATTGCACCCAGGAAATTACAGGACATTGATGAAAGGAATTAAAGAAGACACAAATCAAGTGAAAAACATGGATTGGGAGACTTAATATTATTGAAATGTCCACGCTACCAAAAGCTATTTATAGATGCAATGCCCCATAAAAATACC